ACAACTGCTGCTACTTTTTCTAAAATTAATCACTATTTGCCCATTCAGTTTTCTTCTGGACTCTGGTTGTACTAGCTTAAATTGATCAGACCCTGACTGACTAATATGTTATAGAGCATGTTTTATTGCTTATATTAGTAAATAGACATTTAAATGTATTTTAGCATGTATTGGATTTAAAAGGAAAATAAACAGCTAGAAGTTTTCATTCTATTTGCTGTTCAATGGGTAAACAGAAAATGAAGACTTACGAGTTTATGATTTTCAAAATAGTAGCATCCACCTTTGTTAAAGAAAGCTCAGAAAATCAGTGAAATGTTTAGTGCTTTCATGGAAAAAGGTAGATTGATTACAAAAAGATGTGAAACAATCATGCAGAACGGAAAGCTTAGTTTAATCCTAAATAAGGGAATTATTTTAAATTATCAACATATAATTTTGCTTCAGAAAACATGTCGATGCATGTTACTTCGGGTGAGCCATAAAGAAGACCTCTGGCGTTCCGAGAACGTTGTGGCTTGCTGCTGGCAAGCGGCAGCGCTTGGAGACGGTCTCCACGCGGTGCTTCTCTGTGTCAGAGCAGACGGCAGATCACTGCCAACGTTTGTTACCAAACAACGCTGACATCATGCTTGATTCTGAGATTGTGCATGCGAGGCAGGCACCTCGTTTTGTATTCACAGGGCCGTGGATGATGTTCGGATAACCCTGAATTATAGTATTTTAATGCTTATCGCCTCCTTTCCTCAAGAAAACAACACTGATTCCATGATAGAGCTCCTGCACACAGGATGGATACTCAATATCCAGGACCCATCATGTTACACCATCTTAATATTTAACAAAAATATGTTGTTCGGTGGTTTTTTATCGTACTTTAGACCAGTTACGTGTCAATGATAAATTGGCTTATCTAGTTCAATGAAATTAATCTTTGTGATAAATAGTCATTTTAAATATTTTTAAAAGTAGGCAGACGCCACGACACTATGTAGGGGGAGCCCTTTCTCGCAGGAAGGGGAGGTTTGACAGTGCAGTTAGGCATTGATTTTCCAACCTTGATTGAGTTTTCTTTATGCTAATTGAGGGGCAAGCTGAAGAGCCAATACAAAATACAGGTAAACGCACAAGTTTTTATATTTGGCATTTGTAATAATATGAAAAGAAATCAAGCGCTGATATAGTTCCTTTTGGCTGCCCCTTGCTTCCGCTTTCAATCCTTTCCCTCTACATTTTTGCTGGCTCTTACCTTCGAAGTTGATAACAGACTGCTCTACTTGTTGACATGCCTTCATTTATAAAGGCAGATGTATTCAGTTTTGCTAAATTTATAGTTACCAACTATTTAATACTTGATATTTACTTAAGTCTGTATGCTCAGAGCTTTTAGGAGAAACAAAATATATACACGTTTATAGAAACATATATTTATTTAAAATACATATTTTAAGCAAAGGTTGCGGTCTGCCCCGGCCCGGCAGCTCAGCGAGTGGAGCGCTGTCCTGTCCACCGCAAGGTTGCAAGGTCCGGGCGTGTACGGGAGGCAGCCAGTCGAGGTTTCTCACGTTGATTTCTCTCTCTCTGCCCCCCTTCCTCTCTCTCTAAAATTAATAAACATATCCTTAGGTGAGGATTAAAAATAAAATTACTGGCTGGGATTGTCAGTTTTTTGTCAGCAGCTGGGCAGGGGGATGAGGACAGAGGAAGGTGTGAGGGAGCGGATCGGGTCGGGGGAGAGGTGCTGCGCCTGAAAGCACAGCAGGAACTGCGCCCGTCTGTCGCCTCCCTGAGCACTGCACCCCGACCTGGCCCACGCCCAGCCGCCCCTCTCCTTGCTCTGGCTGCAGTGGCGCCTAACCCCTCGTCTGCACACCCAGCCTCCCTGTCCCAGGACTTGTGTCCCCATTGAACTCCAGTAGCATCCCCTGTTTACTTCTCCTCTGGGAAGGCGCTGTCCCTTTACGTCTGTGTCCCCAGGACCGGGCACAGGTGCTTTCACCTCATGCGCTCATTGACTGACTGTGTACATCATGAAAGGCATCTAAAGCTTTTTTTTTTTTAATTTAATGGATTCACTTCATTCAAGGAAATAAAGGCTTATCCTTTTTATAAGGAGCCAGATGGTAAAATATTTGGCTCATTATCATTCATTTACCAAGGCGGGGACTTCAAGGGAATTAGATTCTCTAGGGCTGGCTCTTGTTTTCCATGCAGACTTTTTGTAGGGCCGCTCTCGTAGAGCTCGGGGGTGTGGGGGTGAGGAGGCTTCGAACCTGGTGTGAGACAAGTATTGTGGAGCAGGTATGTGCATGTTAGTGTCTCTGAGACTTCGATGGCAGAATTGCTAACGGAGGGAAGAATACAGTGTACTTATAGTCTAACTGAATATAAAGGGGAAAATGTTTGCTGACTTCAACATCTGGGGTCAAAGCATGGCCCCAAATAGCTCATAGATTTTTTTTTTCAAGTAAATATTTAGAGAATCAAAATGACAACAGCTTAGTGTACGTATTTAACTTTAGGAGATTTCATTTATTTAACTCTTTGCATATTTCAGTGTTTGTAAGTAGAAAATAGAAGCGGCCAATTTGTATAGGAACTTCTAAGTGGGTAAATAGAACCCTATTTGGTCCAGTTATTCAGGCAGGAAGTTAGTCTAACAAAGGTGTCAAATACAATTATCAGCCAATGTCAGATTTTCCAAGGAGCGACATTTAAAGTAGATGTTTACATAGTAGTTGTACATCCTAGGACATTGAGTAATGACAGCTTTTTCTATTTGCTTGGTGTAATTTTTAGAATGTTATATACGTCCCTCTCTTTCAGCTTACTGAGACCACAATTCATTAATTTTTTTAAAGATTTTATTTATATATTTTTAGAGAGAAGGGAAAGGAAAGAGAAAGAGAGGGAGTAGAACATTATCGTGAGAGGGACATCGATTGGTTGCCTCTGGCACGCCCCCCAAGCGGGGGCGCGGCCCACAGCCCAGGCCTGTGCCCTGATGGGAGTTGAACCTGAGACCTTTCACTCTGGGACGACCTGGAACTGAGCCACAGCGGTCAGGGCCCATTTATTGTTTTTTACTTTCATTTTTTTACACTGTGGCAAAGACCTTATATTTATTTTTTACTCTCCTAACTCAGAATTTTTAATACAGTATTTAAACAGAGTCATAGTTCTGGTTTTCCTCTTCTCAAAAAGGCTTTCCAGATTACGATACAATATCATAGATAAGATTATGGGAAGAATGCTTAAAATTACTTAAAGAGCGAGCCTATTATCACACATTCTCAAAAGTTTCAGAAACCCTAATTACCTAATGTGCTAATAACAAATTATTACCTATTCATTAAAGCAAGTGCTATAATAGCCACTAATTTGATTTGAACTCTTTAAAAATAATGAAGTTGCATTCTTTACAAATAGTCCACACTAAGATTTCTTTCCTTGTGCAATATGCCTTTTCTAACAGAGTTAATTCGAAATAGAGATTGTTGCTTTTATATTATCAAATCCAGTTGCCCTTCTCAGCAAACGGGCAACAGACAATGGAAATCCCTCAATTCACTGGCCTCTAATTGTGTATCAGCCAAGGGGACACTGGTCTTTCACCCGCTCTGACATTCTTGGGAACAAGGCTCTGAATCAAGGCTTTCCCTACACAGGCATTTGAAGCCAACAGGGGCTAAAAACGGCAGACTCCTTCTCTGGTCCACTTTTGCACATGAGCATCTCTGTGCTTCTTTGGGGACCAGACACTGTGAATCAGGGAGAGGGATTCTCAGGAAGTCACTTAGGTAAATGCAGTGGTAGAAGCCCGAACACTGTCAAATCTTTTCCTTTCTTTTTGTTAATCCCCTTGTAGCTTTTTCATCTCTGCGGCCTTGAACTCAGGAGTCACAGATATTTTAGGTCCTTACAGGTGTCCCACAGGGCATCTGCAATTTTTTTTTTAATTTTTAAAAATTTAAAAAATATTTTTCAATTACAGTTTACATTCAGTTTATTTTATATTAGCTTCAGGCGTACAGCGTAGCGGTTGGACCATCACATACTTAACAAAGCGCTCACCCTGATATTTCCAGTGCCCACCTGGCACCGTACACAGTTATTCCAATATTATTGACTGTATTCCCTGTGCTGTGCTTCACATCCCCGTGACTGTTCTGTAACTACCGATCTGGACTTCTCAATCCCACCACAATTTAGAGATTCCTTCTTTGATTTCAGACTTCATTCTCCTTTCAGATAAAAATACCTCTGGGAGGGTATTATTAGATTTTATTGGTCATTTAAATCTTAATGATGGCAACACACAAGATTCTTTCTGAAAAACTGTTGTTTTATAGAAAGAAAAAGAGCAACATCAGTAAGATTCTGGGAGGACAGTATTGCACTATCTGCCGTAACTGGAAGTACATTGATCCCTTGACCCAGCCAACCCCTCTTTGGGAACATTGGTGAGGAAAAAGGTTAGCTATCTTTTATGTAGAAGAGGGAAAAAAATAAAATAATAAATGTAATCCTTTCACTTGCATAGAGAAACACTTGCAGGAAAGAGGAGAAGTTACTAAGAGCAGTTACGAAGTTATGCAGAAGCAGTAGAGGGGCACACACAGGGGTTGGCGTCCGGGGACAGAGAGAAGTGAGACATGTTTTTGTAAATGTAAATATATTTACAAAGAATATTATTCTCAATTATATTCTTACATTGTTTTGATTTTTGAATCACGCGACTATGTTATCTATTTTTAAGGTGGCTTAGTGAATGAAGGAATGAAGGATGATTAAAATTAACATAAGAGGATAATTCATCTTAAGTGAGGAAGCTTACAAACGTTGAACACAGATTTTACCTTTACCACCGCAGAAGGCCGGCTCTGACGAGCTTCCCTCACCAGAGGCCTTCAGTCGTTAATGGGGAAAACTTAAAACGTGCAAGGAATCGTTTGACAACCTGGCCAAGTGCCACTCAGCCATGTTCTGTGTTTCCGCAGATGCCAGAAGAACAAGCGTTCTGTGTTTTGGTGAAAATCATGTATGACTATCACTTGCGAGACCTCTACAAAAACAACTTTGAAGATCTGCACTGCAAATTTTATCAGCTGGAGAGACTACTGCAGGTAAACTGAAATTTGGTGGAGTTATAGAAACAGTCTAATAAAATTGATGAACTGTCATGATTTGTGAAAGTTTAATGGAATTCTACGCAGAACGCAAATGGATTTGGTGTCTGATCAATATCTACACTGGTTTTGATACTATAAAATATTTATTTAACCATTTGATTATTTAAAAAATCATCTCCCTTTTTAGATATTCAACTTTAATATACTTTGAAGTGTGAATATGGTGAGTTAAATCAAGGAAGAGATTGTTGAGTATTATTTGTAAAGAAATGAAGCTATTTACAGAATAAAAATTAAAATACTGAACTGTTTTCTCTGTATTAATTGACACCAGTACTATATTAGTCCACATGTAGAGAACACTTTGAACAGATAGAAAGATATCGAAAGGAGAATAAAAATACCTGAACTATTATAATGTGGAGACACACTTTAAATTTTTCCCCACGTAAGGTGAAGAGATTAAGAAGAAAAGAACTCGTAGCCACAGGCAGCGGTGTGGAGATGACCAGAGGGAAAGGAAGTGGGGGTAGAAGAGGGCGCGGGGCTGGATGGTGATGGACGGAGGCTTGACGCGGGCCGGTGAACAGATGATGTGTTACAGGACTGCACACTTGAAGCCTGATGTAATTTTATTAGCCAGTGTCATCCCAACGAATTCAATGAAAAATTTTAAAAAGATTTCCCACATAATTTCCTGATCTCAAACAGAGTTGTAACTATTTTATACTATGTACATGTAAATGTATATATGTGATAAACATTATATATGTCAAACATTACATAATAAAAAGATTATGAGGGCAAAATTATTGACTAGTGCTAATAAAAAGAATTAATGAATAGCTTTGAAATTCCAGCTGAGATTAAAAATCTTAAATTTATAATGGATCTATGCATTCTCTATATGAAGTATTGGGAACCCAAGGGAAAGGTGAAAAAAAATATATGAACGGGGGTGGTTCCATATCGGGGAAAAGAGAAATGTTTGGGAAGGTTAGTGGGATATGGCAGTAGAACGTACCGGCAGGAGCTCACTGCCTGACCTGTCAGGAGACCTGTAGGTGTCTGGAGAGGGGAGCGAAGCCCCTAAGAGACTGAGGGGACCGGGGAGTGGGAGGCGGAGATTTGCAGCGAGGTGGAGGACAGCTCTACCGGGAGAAGGAAGGCGGGAGGGTGGAAGACCGTGAGTGTGAAGAACAAATAGAGGGGAAGGCTGTCAAAGAACCTAAGCACAATGGCAAGTGGTCATCAAGGGGAAGGCAGGCTGTAGAGGAGCCTGGTAACTTAAACATTAAAGGCTATAGGCTCTTTTTTGGAGATGTAATTCTCCAAAATTTGTTCGGGAATATTCACTTCTCATGTGTCGCTTACCAAAGTTTATGTTGTTTCAGAGGTCACTAATTTTAAGGACTTTGAAAGTCAAGTATTTATACCTGATATATGAGCAGCGAGTCCAGGGTATAGTGAAGAAACCCAAACGTGGTTTTCCATGGGCACTGCTTGCATGTTAACTGGGTAACCATTGAGCACCCACCCCATCGAAAGTACGAGATGGGCACATTTGGGTGTTTTTCAAAGAGCATCTTGCACAAGAAGTGGGATTTTTGTTTTTGTTTTTGTGGTCTGTTTATGAAAGTGGGCTTTTACATGTCTTTGCCTTTCAGTTACGGGAACACTGTGCTAATGCTGTGCGCTTTGCCTTTCACGCTTTCGAAAGCATTTACTGGTATAGCTTGGAAAAAAGATAAAGCTGGAGCATGAAGGCATTTTAAGGAGACATTCAATTCCCGTATTATACACTGGCATTTCCTGTATTTTGCCACTTTTTAAAGATATCGTAGATAGTTTCTTAAACATTTGGTTATGTTTTGGCCTTTTTTAAGTGCCAAAAAATGTACTGCAGTGGTACCACCAACGATGATGTTGTCATGAAGTACATCTCTCTCCTAACTAGTTAGGAGGTGAGCCCTGAAGGGGGCGCTGTCACTTGGCCCTGGAGTCATGACACGCCCTGGGGGCACGTGGGGACTCTGAGCCTTTCCCGAGAGAGAAAGCCAATCCAGCGAGCAAGCGATGACCTTTGTTTTTGGTTCCTAACAACCCTGTCTTTTCCTCAGTGATCTGTCCCATCCCTAGTTCTCATCTCCTGTCATCACTTCTGTGCCATTTCATACAATTCAGTGAATGCGGCAGTAAAATGGAAGCGTTCGTAGGAAGCTTGTTATAAATTGCAGTTGTCACAGGAAATAAAGCTGCTTCCGCGTTCCGTCTGCTAAATTTTCCACTTTGACTTTTAGGAGCAACTGCCGGACCTGCACAGCCATTTCTGTGACCTGAACCTGGAGGCACATATGTATGCCTCGCAGTGGTTCCTCACTCTCTTCACCGCCAAGTTCCCGCTCTGCATGGTCTTCCACATCCTCGACCTGCTGCTGTGTGAGGTAGAGTGACTCCATCTCTCGGTCCTGAGCCCAAGTAGAAAGCAGTGCCTACGTAGTTAACATGGTTACAGTTTTCTTCAGTTTCTTTTTTCTTGTGACATTAAGCTATAGATACTGTCCCAAAATTTCTATTTGAATTCTTATTAAAGACTATTTTAATTGTAATTTTATTACTTGTGAGAAATGAAAAGTTAAGGTGTATATAATTCCTACAAACTAAAATGTGGCAATTTGTATAATTCATAATAAGCTCATATATGTGTGATGATGGATTACAAATATAAAAGACCTTTAAAATTAAATAAATGCTTTAGAATCAGGTATTTTTAACAGTAATGCAGTTATACTCCAAGAGTGAATATAAATGAAAACTTTATAATAATTAAATCCTCAATTTATAAGATATCTCTTTGGATATGATGTTTGAGACTCCATCCAGCTAAAAGAAAAGTGACAAAGTTTTTGCATCACATAATTGTGCAAAACTGATTTTTGAATATTTTGAAATAATGCTACTGTCTAAAAAGTTAAAAGATATTAAAAAATCAGTTTGCACAATTTCTTAGGTATCTGTAGTATTTATTTCATGTATTGTTTTTAGTTTCTTAGATGACTACATTTATTTGCTTTACCCTCTTAAAGAAATAAACAATATTACACGTACATACCATGTATACTAACCATCAAAATGGTTAACATTCTTAACAGTGTTAGAAAGTTGCTGGATGAGAAGAATTTTCTTACATTGGAAATATAAATGTATATAAAAATATATCTGAAATTTAAAAGCTGTAGTAATTACTCCAAAGTATTGAATATGAGACTAATATTATAATCTAGGCAGTTTTGTATTACTGTATTACTGTTCTTACATAAAGTTGCCTCTTTCTCAAAAGAAAATTCTATTTTAATAACCCTAGGAACTAGAAATTTAATTACAAGATTTAAAAGGATAAAAGGTATCAGCTGTATAAAGCATGACTTACCCCTCAGCCTCCTGCATCAGGAGCCATTTCATATGTGAACACAGCTGGATTTTACCCCTCAAAGGTTCCGGTTGGTGTTTCACAATACTGGAAGGTGCAGAGCATTTTGTAGACACATAAGCTTTTTAAACATTTCCAATGTATTTTGATAAAGAAGGGTCAAGTGACTTGCTGAGGATCACAGAATAAGTTCTCAAATATTGAATGCATAACAGTTAGAGAAGTTGATTGATAACACATTCATTCTACTTGTTTTACTTACAAATTAGTTTACAGAATGCTATCTAAACTTAACCTGAACAGAGAAGCAGAATGCAGAATTAGGAGCCAAAGCTTTATTCAAAGTCAAATGGTGCGATCACTGGACTGGTAACTTTAGTCTAAAGTCGCCTCTACTTGGTATTGGAGCACCGTTATTGGGTTTTCTGAACCCCAGAGAGAGAGTTTTTCAGGAAGTTTTATCTTGAAGATATTTGAATTTCTAATTTCAGTTACTAAGAAAAATTAGCAACATTTATGGTGAGGAAAAGAAAAGAAAATTTATAAGCCTTCTTATCACTTGTCAACTATAGTTCATAATCACGGGGTTTGAAGAATCTTAATGCTCATTAAAATTAAGAAGAACATCGTAGATAGATGTCAGTTTCCCTCTCTCAAACTGATGCTCTGCAGCTGTTTCAGGAAGTTGCATACACAGCTTTCCAAAACACGGAGTAGCTTGTAATCACAGCAGTACACTAACCAGGGTAATAAATATCACACCTTAACAGAGCAAAGTAGCTTTAAAGATAAATTTTATGGGGAACAATAGTGCAGTAAGCTTCAGGATATTTGTTCTTTCCACTAACTCATCTTTGTCAGAGTATTATTTTGCAAAGGAAATTTTTAGATAAACTTTTACTTCCTGCCTGTCTGCGTTCACTCTGCCCATTTCCTTCTTGTAGTTAATAAAATATTTATATCAAAGCTATTCTTTCACATGATAAAATATTCTAAAAGAAGAAATGGTAACATAGTCTTAAACAGAATCATCCATTTATGTTTTTTGTCATATTCTCTATTTTTTAAGAAAACAATTCAAATCTTGATGGTTATAAATTAATGTTTAGTTACAAATGGAAGGCTAGGAAATTCTCATATGGAAAGTGTTAATTTTTCAAAACTTTTCGAAGGCCCTCCTCACCTTCACTTCCCCTGTAGTCATTACGCCTCCCAAGGGTGATCGCTGTCCTGCCTTGGAACACCATCGAGTGGATTTGATTTTTTTTGGAACTTTACATAACTGGAAGCATATCATATGAATTCTTTCTTGTCTAGCTTTTTCATTTATCTTTGTGTTTATGAGATTCATCCATGTAGGTTCATGTAGGTGTGGTTTGTTTGTTCCATCGTAAATGTACCACAATTTCTCCATTCTTCCATTCTACTGTTGATGGATGTTTGGGTCATTTCCAGACTAGGGCTATTATGATCAGTGTTGCTGTGAATGTTCTTGAACTTGTCTTTTGGTAAACACACATATGCACCTTTTTGGAATTGCTGGGTTAGGGCATGAATGCACTAAGGTTCATAGATACCATCAAGCAGCTCTGCAAGTGTTTTGAGCATTACTTATTGAGTTGTTTTTATTCCCTAAATATCTTCTTTGTGGTCAAGGGCAAGGTTTCATTTTATTTTGTTTTGATTTTTAAGAGGGCAGGTCCTGGATCATGTTAGAGTCCATGAATATGAAACAAAATGCAACTCATTTGGTGACTGAAGTCATTTCCTTGATCTTGAAGGTTTATACAGACGGGACTAAGAGCTGGGTCTAAGGGCTGAACCGCGTTGGTTCTTCCGTGAGGGGAGTCGGCCTGGTGGGGGAAGCCCAGCAGCGTCCTCAGTTACAGAAGAAGCAACATGGAGACAGCTGAATATGGAAGTGAAGATACTTGGTGTTTTAGTTAACCCTCCCGATACCACCTTGTTTGTGTTACTTGACCTATATATGTCTCGGTTTCTTCACTGTTAAATGAAGCTAACAATACCGATCTCCCGATTTTATATAAATGACTAAGTGAAATTGTGAATAATAAGGTGCTTAGCACTGTGTCTATCACATGGTACATATTCAGTTCACATTACTCTCCATTCTGCCCCATCTGCCAGTATAGCCCCTCCAGTCGCTCTCAATTTCTCCGCTTAACTGGCTGGCTTCAGAGATGACGCGAGGGCCGGGCGCGTACCTCCCAGCAGCCGTTTAACTAGAGCCGCCCTCCCAACAGCCTGTGTCTGCCCCGCCGCCCTCACTCCCACTTGCGAGGTCCCATGTCAGAGCCGGAGCGGCGGCCATGCACCTGAACGGCGGTTTCAGTCTACTTCCTGTTGACGGGTGATTTAGGTAGCCCTCCAAAAGTATTTTTTCCGCCTTCTTTCAAAAGACATAAGGGAAGCAGTATTTCTCTCAGTCTTGACAAGATAACTGACAGCGGGTATTTGAAGCTGACTCTTCCCAGACAGTTCGATTTTTAGAGTGTCAGATGTATTCAGCCTTTTATAGTGACTTGGTATTTCATGAAATTTAAGGAAATCAGTGACCTTTCAAAGGGGCGTGTATTTCTTGCCTCTCCTTTCTTCTTAGGATAATAAAAAATAATATTTAAAATATCTTATTAAATACCACTAAGTATCACCCCCCTTTCCAGGCGGTTTTCTGAAGCTGTTGTCTGAGGAATAGATTTATTATATGATGTTCTTGCTCTTTGCCCCATTTTCCTCCCTCAAACAGTAATGTGTTGAATTTTTAAAAATTGAGATATAACTGACATAATATTTTGTAAGTTTGAGGTTTATAACCTGTTGGTTTGATACATATTGGTTATATATTGCATTAGCTAACTGTAGCATGAGCTAACACCTTTATCAAACAATACTCTGAATTTAAAAAACATCAGAATGGGCCGATATAAGGAAGATTAAGAATTCTATCTTAAATGTAAAACTTTCTAAAAACTCTAAAAGTAGTGATTGGCCACAAGAGTGCGGGTGGAGGGCAGGAAGGAAGAGCTTCGACTAACCAATCAAAGGAGTGCTGTATAGACTACTTTAACATTTTACTTAGCAGTAGAAGGCTTCAGGACTAGGAAAAACTTTCTAAAATCCTATTTCTGGACTGGACTTTTGAAATGCCTATTTCTTCCACTAGGTTATAAATTTCCAGAAAGTGAAGCCGCATCTCTGCACTGCCATACACCTAGTCAGCTTATGGACACACAGGAAATATCTGTGGAAGGAAAGAAAAAGAAAAAAAAATTAAAGGATGAAATTATTTTTATTGTCTCAATATAAATGTGTTTATGAAATCCTGCAGGCTGAAAAATAACTTTGCTCTTGAGTTTTAAGAGAAGAAAGTAAGCTAATGTGTTTAGGAATCCCTCCTGTTTTAGTAATTGTATTTTAAGAAACAGAAACCCAGACATAGTCGCTCAAGTGGAGGCAGGGGGATAAATATACAGGGAACTCAGGAAAAGATGCGCAAGCAAACCTCAGAGAGGGCAGGTGCCAAGGAGGCTCCAGGACCCACCTCTGTGACTGTGTCACTCTCTGTGAGTTAGCTGTTCTCCTGATTTCTTGGCCTGTTTCTTTATAGCTCTGGTTTGCACAGGGCTTAATCTCAGAAAGATCTACCATGACCATTCAGCTCCAGCATCATCAGCTGCTGACAGCTTGGATTGCCTCATTGGTCCTGCTCCCAGTTTAAAATACACGTGCATGGTCAGAGGTCCCAGGTATAGGCCACCTTACACTGCTTGTCCATCTCTTGCCCAGCATGCTGTGGTGAGGGGTCATCTCGGACCGAGTCACTTAACAGAAGGCAGATTTTCTGGGAAGGGTCATTGGTGGATCTGGCACAATCAAACATTTCTAGTGTGCAAATACTTCGTGGACTAAAATTCTTATGTTGTCTGCTTTGAAATCAATCGGTATTTGAGAAGTATAATATTTATTTAACTAAAATGCTAATGCATCTCAAAA